TAACAAATTTACTTGTGTGAAAAATTACACAAGCCTCATTTCTTATAATTCATTGTTTGTTTGTTTGTTTGTTTTTCAAGGCAGGGTTTCTCTAACCCTGGTTGTCCTGGAACTCATTTTGTAAACCAGGTTGGCCTTGAACTCAGATATCCACCTGCCACTGCCTCACAAGGGCTGTGCCACCACTACCTGGCGTAATTCTTCCTTAAAAGTTGAATTTTGCTGCGCGGTGGTGGCACACGCCTTTAATCCCAGCACTTGGGAGGCAGAGGCAGACAGAGTTCTGAGTTCGAGGCCAGCCTGGTCTACAGAGTGAGTTCCAGGACAGCCAGGGCTACACAGAGAAACCTTGTCTCGAAAAAAAAAAAAAGTTGAATTTTATGTACTTATTATTGGAGGGGCACTGAGTGGAAGCTGTGGGTCAACTTTGTGGCGTCAGGTTCTCTGCCCTCACCTTTAAGTAGGTTCTGGGGTCAAACTCAGGCTGCCAGGCTTGCACCCCTAACGCCGTTCTCAACTTAACTGTCTTCCCAGCTTGGTTTTCATCTTAACTTTTGAATTAGAACCTTCATTCCACTATGATTACTGTGTAGAGCACAAAATAGCTTCCTATTCCCACTGGAACTCGGCTCCTCCCCAGGTGTCTTCTAAGTTAGACCGGCACATCCTCAGGTCCTTTAGGATCTGGCGGGCTTACACTGTGTCTCTGCTATGTTCAGGTCATGAGACTATTCTAGAAAACTGCCTCACTTCCTATCCACCTTCCTGTGCTGTAATCATTCTCACCAAGGCTGTCCAGTGGGCTACCCAACTTGGCTGGTTAGTAGTAGCCAGGACTATACTCCAGGATTTCTCTCATCCTTGGATGGAAGATCCTTACTCCTCTGACCTCTGTCTCCACTCCCACCACCCCACCACCATCTGTTGGTCATGCACTATGGCACTTTTGAATATAAATAGAGCTTTTAAATGGAATCTTCTGGATTCAAATATGGACTCCACCACTTGTGCCCTGAGTAAATTCCTCACCTCTTTATGTCTCTGTGTTTCTGCTTAAAACAAAACAAAACAAAACAAAACAACAAAACCAGTGCTAACAATAACAGTTCCCATCGATTATTATTTGGGTTCCCCCAGAAGAAGACCAGAAGTACTGGGAAGGTAAACCATGACAAACTTAGAAAGATGTAAGGAAGTGGGACAGGAAAGGGCTATCAAACCTGAGACAAGCAAGACAACTGGAGCCTAATCCCACTGGGTAGAACAAGAGACTGGGGAAGGACAAGGTATAGCTCCAGGCTATAAAACAAAGTTTTATGTATTGGAACAGCTGTGAGGACCTCCGGACTACACTAGCCAAGTTGAGAAGTTGTAGAGGCTGACATGAAAAAACCTAAGTGTGTGTGTGTGTGTAATATATAATCTTATAATATATACATGTATATATAATTATGTGTATGTCCCTGCCTGAGCCCATAGCTGTACATAGTCTGTGCACCAGCTGCAGATAGTAGCTGTGGACGGCAGAAGTCGGCATTTCCTGACAGACAATTGTGAGTCATTGTATGGGTGCTGGGAACTGAACCTGGATCCTCTACAACAGTAGTAAGAGCTGTAACCACGGAGCCATTTCTCCAGCCCATAAAAGGCCTGTGTATTTATTATCTGGACTTTTACAGAAAACGTTTCCAGGTCCTGTTATAGACTATGTTACTTATTCCAGTCAGGGGTTGAGAAATTTAGGGAGTTTATTTGCCAATCCTGAATGTGCCACCCTTCCTTTATGATCTCCTTGTTCACTCTTTCAGACGTTTTCCTTGGGTAAAGTGGAGGCTGCTGTGTTTCCTGCTACTGTGACGTCTTTAATTTGTCTTCCGAGTTTTGTCTGTCTGTTGATGATAAGAGTGGAAATCCATAGCCCAGTGTTTACCTTACGCATTGTGACAACATAAATTTTCCACTGTTGAGCTAGAAGCCACTAAGATTACACTTCCTTTCTTGAACTGTCCTCTTTCTTTCTCTCCCACCTTTCCCCACTACTTCACTATGTAGACCAGGCTGGCCTCCAATTCACAGAGGTCCACCCTCCTCTTCCTCCTGAGTGCTGGGATGAAAGATGTGTAGAAACACACCTGGGTTTTTCTTGGTGTTTGAGACAAGGTCTCCTGTAATTTTGGAAAGCTGAAAACTCGTTACATACTCTGGATCATCTTGAACTCTTGGTCACCTGGCTTTATCTCCCAAGTGTTGGGATGACAGGTGTATTCTTGGCTTAAACTAGTTTCAGTTATCTTCTGAAAAGCAATTCTAAAAAATTCCTCTCTCTCTCTCTCTCTCTCTCTCTCTCTCTCTCTCTCTCTCTCTCTGTGTGTGTGTGTGTGTGTGTGTGTGTGTGTGTTACACTAATTATTTTTCCAGCCTTCTTTATTTTTTAAAGATGGGCCATGCAGATCAAAGTCAGGTCTCTAGGCTTGACAGCAGATGCCTTTGCACACTGAGCTGTCTTGCTGGCCCACTGAACATCAATTAATTAAAAACATTTTTTTTAAATTATGGGCTGGAGAGATGGCTCAGCAGTTAAGACCAGCTGCTCTTCAGGATGACCTGGGCTCTATTCTCAACATACTTGTAGTGGCTCGCCATCTGTAATTCTAGTCCCAGGGGATCTGATGCCTTCTTCTGGCCTCTGAGAACACCAGGCAAGCACATGGCTTTATCATGAGCATGCAGAAGGGTGTCATTTGAAGCTCAAGGAGCCACATGTGGGTACCAGAGTCAATGGCAGGAACAGAAAAAGAAGAAAGAAGTCCAAGAGTGTAACTGCACACAGACAGGGAAAAAAATAACCACAGAAGCAAACACAGATACCTCTAATCTTTTTTGTTGTTGTTGTTGCTTTTCGAGACAGGGTTTCTCTGTATAGCCCTGGCTGTCCTGGAACTCACTCTGTAGAACAGGCTGTCCTCAAACTCAGAAATCCGCCTGCCTCTGCCTCCCAAGTGCTGGAATTAAAGGCGTGAACCACTACTGCCCGGCAGATACCTCTAATCTTAAGGAGATATACATTGTGTCATTTTCTAAACATCCAAGAGGAGCTTGCATATGCCTCAAAAGGCCTGTTTCTTGAACCTCTGCAGCTTCTCCATGAAGAACCAGTCAATGCTATGGAAACTTCAAGATCAAGGTGTAATACAGTGATGACACATCAGAGCTTCTCCCCCAAAAGATCAGTACATTAAATCTTTTAAAAAATACAAAGCAAGCCGGGCGGTGGTGGCGCACACCTTTAATCCCAGCACTTGGGAGGCAGAGGCAGGGGGATTTCTGAGTTCGAGGCCAGCCTGGTCTACAGAGTGAGTTCCAGGACAGCCAGGGCTACACAGAGAAACCCTGTCTCGAAAAACCAAACCCCAAACAACAACAACAACAACAACAACAAAAACACAAAACAAAACAAAGCAGAAGCCTGGTGGTAGTGGCACACCCCTTTGATCCTAGCATTTGGGAGCCAGAAGCAAGTGGATCTCTGTGAGTTTAAAGCCAGCCTAGTCTACATAGTGAGTTCCAGAGAGCCGGGGCTACACAACTGAGGCCTTGTCTTAAACAAACAAACAAACAAACAAACAGGGGCCAAGAGATAGATAGATAGCTCAGAAGGTAAAAGCTCTTGTTGAGCCTATCAACCTGAGTTTGATCATCAGAACCCCGCCCCCACCCTTTTTAAAGGAGGCTTCAAAAATCAGTCTGTGTGGCACCTCCAGGTCTGTCTTCATTCTATGTCTATCCTCTTAGGTACTGAGAGAAAAAGATGTGAAGAAAAGTTCAAAAGCCAAGGATGGTTTCTCCCCTGTAAAACCCTAGCACCTGGAGGGCAGAGGCAAGTGAATTGCTGAGGTCATATTAGGTCTCAGACCTGCAACAAAAGGCTGAGGTTCCTGTTTAACATATCAAAGCCGATGTGCCAACAGGTTCTCCCAGCATCCCTCAGTACCTACCAGTTACAGCCCTCCTGGGTGGCACACCCTGTCCCCTACCCTAAACTCCAACCCAGAGGCTAGAGCCAGCAGGAGGCATCTGATCCACGTCAGGGGCTGGAGCCAGAGGAATAGAATTTTGAGAAAGGGTTGGAGCTGAGTTCACGACCCATCCCCCATCTCTCTGTTCCGCAGCAATATCTGTTCCCCCCCCCCATGCCCTTCCCTATATAATCCAGCCATTTTGGTCATTCTTTCTCTTTCGGGGCTCCTGGCTGCTGCACCTGGTTTCTATCCTTCGTGCTCCCGTGTGCACACACACGTAAACACACACACACACACACACACACACACACACACTACTACCACCTCTCCCCACATGGCTCAGGGTTACGTTCCCTCTTGACTCTCTCAAGATGTCCCTGCCTCTGGCTATGCTCTTCCATTTACCTACAATAAACTTTCTCCTCCACCATACCTAGGAACAGTTCTATCCTTTCCTATTTATTTGTTTGTTGTTTGATTCAGTCATCCTGAACTACATAGTAGTTCAAGGCCAGCCTGAGCTACATAAGAAGTACCTGTGGAGAGAAAGGGGGCGTTAAGAGAAGGGAGTGAGGAGACTGACCATTGTTGACTGGAACTGAGGGGAGAGGAGAAGCTGGCGAAGCAGTAGTATGATGTTTGTATGTATGTCTGAACCAGTTGATGTATGTTTGGGGGAAGCATACTATAACAGAGATGGAGAAGGTATTTGGGTCTTTTCCTAGGGGTACATCTTTCTCCTTCTCTTCCCTGTCAGTGAGCATTTGGGATTAAGAGAAAGGGGGTCTCTCAGAGATCATCACCTTGGGTAAAGGGGGAGTAGCAGCCTGCAGGAGGCATCTGATCCACATTAGGGGCTGAAGCTAGGAACAGAATTTTGAGAAAGGGTTGGAGCTAAGTTCACGACCCATCCCCCATCTCTCTGTTAGCAATATTCCATGGCAGTTAGGGTCTGCTCGGCGGAATGGGGAGGGGCCTTCTCTTGGATCTGGAGCTCAGCTGTCTGGAAAGAGGTCCCCCCATTCTTGCTCAGACACTAGGCCTGTGATGGAACCTGACTTGACTGAGGAAGAATCTGAGAGGATAAGGACCAGGTGAGTGTGGAAGGGGAAGGGGACGAGGTGTGAACCAGGATGGAGGAAGGGTGAGCTGGCCAGAGCAGAGTACTCGGGAGGACTTCTGTCCCTTCTTCCATCAGGAACAGGCAGTCACGCACGGAGCATCGGCGCAGCTCCCTATTGCCCCTTCAATGGAAAATGACACATAGCTCCCGCTGGATGGCCCAGGTGGTGGCCTCAGAGTTTAGCCTGGTGGCCTTCCTCCTGCTACTGCTTATGGTCTTCTCCAAGAAATGGTTGTACCCCTCTAAGAGCCGTTTCCATCAGCGCTACCCCCAAAACATCACCAAGAGAGTCTACACCTCCATCCACAGTATGTCCACAGGACTCCTGTACATCTGCATAGCTAAAAGCTGCCCCAGCTCAGACAATGGGGAAGGTGAGTTCCTGGGTCCCATCCCAGATCTCCAGCCTGCCTTGACCTCTGTGGTGGCCCACACCATCTTGTTCCCTCCCACCAGCTGTCTTCATTTGGCTTGCAAGATGACATGGTGAGGTCCGGATTATTTTCGTCCTTTTGATTGGTCAAATCAGTTTGTCTGACCCAGTAGGAGATGTCACTGTTGTGGGCAAAGCCCACAGGTCTTCCCTTCAAGAGCGTTGAGCGGTCTGGATCAGTCCTGAATGACATTGTTTTTCAGCTGGGAGGTGCTGTTTCTCCTTCCAGCGTTGCATATCCAGAGCCCTGAGAGGACGCCTGGACGTTCTCTTGTGGTCATTCTCTAATCCTGCCATCTTCCTTTCCTCCTGCCTGAGTTCTTGCTTCTCTGAGCCAGCTCTAAGTTTCCCTTTTACTGTTTGACTTTCTTATTCCTTCCTTCCCTGAATTCTCACAACTGTTTAATTTCTGATGTAATGTCCAGTTCTGGATGTTCCTTTCCATCTGCCATTCTCCTTTTGGTAAGCAAAACTAGGTATATCTTATATCATCTCTCTCTCTCTCTCTCTCTCTCTCTCTCTCTCTCTCTCTCTCTCTCTCTGTGTGTGTGTGTGTGTGTATGTATGTGTGTGTGTGTATACAGGTATTATATCTTCATGACAAATCTGGGGAAACAAATATCATTTATGGTATGCTTACTCTATTTGTCCAAATGGATCTTGTGTTAGCCGTAAGAGTAGGAATAATTGACCTTATTTTACAAATGGGAAGATTGGAACTTCTTTAGAATTCACTATGTAGCCCAGGGTGACTTTGAACTCCCAGCCAGACCATCTTCAAACCCCTGAGGGCTAGTATTACAGAAATGAGTCAACACACTTGACTTATACTCTCATGGTTTTTTGTTTGTTTTGATTTTTGTTTTTTTCCCAGACATGGTTTCACTGTGTAGCCCTGGCTGTCCTGGAACTTGCTCTGTAGACCAGGCTGGCCTTGAACTCAGAGATCTGTCGGCCTCTGCCTCCTGAGTGTTGGGGGTTCTTAAAGGTGAGCACCACCACTGTCCAGGTCACAGAATCCAATTTCAAAAGGCTCTTGAAATTTTGGAGACCTCATTGGAGGAAGGAGGTTACTAGGGAGGGTAACTGTGGGGGTATCTTTCTTTTTGAAAAGATAAATGTTAAACTCTATTTTATGTGTATGAGCATTTTTGTGTACATGTATGTCTGTATGCCATGTCTATGTGCTGTATGCATGCCTCGTACCCATCGAATCCCCTGGAATTGGAGGTACAGACAGTTGTGAGTCACCATTTGGGTGTCAGGAAGTAAACATGGATCCTCTGATTAAAGCGGCAAGTGTTCTTAACTGATGAGCCTTTTCTCTAGCTCCTCTTGGGGGTATCTTGCCGTTGGCCCCTTCCTGTTTTCCTCTCTATGCTTTCTGTCTCCTAATAAGTGAAGAATCTTCGCTTTCCACAGCTTACGCCACACACTCCTGCCACTGTGATGGCCCAACTATCTGTGGAGCCAGGGGACCATGGACTAGATTCTCCTAAGCCAGGGACCAGAATAAGCTTTTCTCACTTTAAGTCATGTTGTCAGGTACTTAGCCACAGTGATGAATAGGTAACTAATACAGAAAACTGGTTACCAAAGCGTGGGGTTCATTCCTGAACCTATCTCTGGACTGGGAAGGAAGCCTTTGGAGCCAGTCTCTGGGAAGAATCTGGCTTCTTTTAATCAGAGTCTAGTGAGACCTGGGAGTGAAAACATTGGGTAGTGGATCTGAAATGCGTGCGGTCATGCCAGAAAAGGAGCAAACCGGAAGATGTGGGCAGTGGCGCCATGCCCATTAATGAAATTAGACTCATTCCAAAGGAGCTGACCGCTCTGCACTGGGATTGTTGGGGAGATGGGGGACGAGGTTTTGAGGTCAATCTCAGGGTCATTCCAGACCCCTGGGTCTAAAATTATAAGCTCATTTGCAAGATTTCTTTTGAAAAGAAATAGCCACTAGAGCTTTCATAGGTCCATTGACAATTTGCATATTTTTCTTTTGGTTTTGTTTGTTTTATTTTATTTATTTATTTTTGTTGTTGTTTGAGACAGGGTTTCTCTGTATAGCCCTGGCTGTCCTGGAACTCACTCTGTAGACCAGGCTGGCCTCTGCCTCCCAAGTGCTGGGATTAAAGGCGTGCGCCACCACTGCCTGGCATATTTTTCTTTTGAGAATTGCTGTTTATGGTTTGATTTTTTCCCCCTTTCCTTCTATTTACTCTTGCTGATTTTGTTTTTTTATTTAAATTTGTCTATGCAGCCCTGGCTGTCCTGGAACTTGCTATATAGACCAGGGCTGGCTTTGAACTTAAAAGAGATCTTCCTACCTCTGCCTCTGAAATGATGGGATTTAAGGTGTGAGCCACCGTACCTGGCTATTTTTATTTATTTATTTTTTGAAACACTACATTGTAGTCCCGATTGGCTTGTAAGTCACCATATACCTTGAACCCATGGCTAACCTCTTACCTCAGCCGTTGCTGAGCTCAGAAGTGTGAGCTAGCACACTGGCTTTTTTTTTTTTTTTAAATCCATATATTCAAGTGGGATTGTCAAGCAGTCTTGTAAGGGTCCATGATTCGCACAAGATTGACACCCTGGACTCAAATAGTATGTAAATGTAAAGAAAGTTTTATTCTGTAGAAGTCCAACATGCTGGGGTCTCCCCATTCCCAAGATAGACACCCAAGTGAGCCTGCAGGCCTGATTTAAAGCACATTAGGGAATTTTGGAGTAGGCGAGCTCTAGGTTAATCTGTTGGGTCCAAGTCTACCGACAGACATTCTGTTGCTGGGGTGTGGGGGCTGGAAACTCGCTGGGGAGATCTGGAGACTGTTACTGAGGAAGTAGCTGAGGAAGTCTAGAAACTGCTGCTGACCCATTGTCCTTGCTTCAGGCCAGGTGGCTGGGGACATTCCATTAGCTGGGTGTGAAGGCTGGAGCCTGGTTTTTTTGTTTTGTTTTGTTGTTGTTTTCCCTGTTAGTAATTGAATTACCTGGGCTTGCCAGCTGGACTTGCCCAGTGTTTAGGCCTAGTCCCCTTAGCTGCCAATCTGAAGTCTGTCATGGAGTCTGCCTAGCCTTCTCAGTCTTCAGATCAGGACTCTTACTTGAGGGAAAGTATTGTTCCCTAATTTCAACTGTGCAGGGTTTCTTTGATTCCAGACAACCTGAGTGTTCCCATATTTGTTCACTTGACTGTATTTCATTTTTGTGAATCCTGAGTTCCTCCCTATTTTTGTCATTTTCCCCCTAGACAATTTTAAGATGTGGACAGTCCATCCAGTTTTTGGGGTGGCTAAGATAAGTTTCACCCTGGCCGTAGGGCTGGGTTTTATCCTCACCACCTGGCTGCACCTGCCGTACCTGCCCTGCCTGCAGAAAATGCCTTTCTTTGGCTTGATTGGGATCATCCTGAGCTTCTGTGAAGGTGCCCCTCAGCTCTGAAAAAGGTTCTTAATTCCCTAGCCCACATGGTCCTGGGCACATCTCCCTCTTCTCTGGGAGATGGGGGTAGGGGTGGAGCGAGCGTTGGGAGCGGCGAGGGGAGCAGAGGGAAGTGAGAGCGGAAGTACGATGTTTTCTGAATGCTGGAGACAGGAGGGGTTGATTTCCTTAGTGTGAGTGATTTGTGGCAGATGAGGCAGACCCCCTGTGCGATTCTTAGGTGAGAATAAGATCTCTCCACTCCTGCCTCCCAGTCACCTTAATTTTCCTCACCCTCCTGTTGTTCCCTGTTAACCTCTGGATCTACGAGCTGAAGAAGAATATATCAGTTCCCATCGGCTGGAGCTATTTCGTTGGTTGGCTGGTGCTCATCCTGTATTTCACTTGTGGTAAGTGGTTAAGAGACCCTGGGGGAGGAAGGGAGTTGGGTGGATCAGGGCAGAGACTTTGTGACTGGAAGAGGCGGGTAACTCCTCTCAGCCACCCCCGGAAGTCCGCAAGGTCTTAACCTTCCCTTCAGCATACCTCACCTGTCACCTTCCATGCGGATCTCAGCTTCTCCTTCTTTTTCTTGTCCCTCACCCCCACCACCGCCGCCAGGGACCCTTTGCTACCTCAACCATAAAAACTTCTGGAGCCTAATCATGAGCAGCTCCTCCATCAACACGCCTTGCGGCAGCTCAGACCCGGAGTCTCTGACGAGTACTTCACAGATCTCCAGCAACCAGGAGAACAGCCTGGAGCCTGCTAAGGATAACAAAAAACCATTAAGTTCAGATACAGCCGCTTTACCACCCCTCCCAGCCACCGCTGACTAGGACTGTCCTCATCATGGCAAAGGATGAGCAAAGGAGGATTTGGGAACCAGCTTTACATTCCTCCTTCTCAACTTGGCCTTGTCTGTGGCTCAGGTGATGTGGAATAAATTGCCCATGTCTTCATCCTGTCTGACGGTTGTCAAGGAGAACTAGAGGAGGGAGAGAAAGGGAGAAAAACAAAACCCGCTGTGTTTGGTTCCCAGCTCTTCCTGCCTGTGAACTTTTTGGAGCCCGACCGTCCCAGCAGCCTCTGCCGTAGTGCACCTGTGCATATGTAGGAAGGACTCCATGGTACAGACACTTAACCTGTCACTCACGAGATTCTGTGTTTTTGATGTAACAGCACTGAAAACCAAAAAAAAAAAAAAAAAAGTAAATTTAGCCGGGCTTTGGTGGCACATACTTATAATGCCAGGAGGCTGAGGCAGGAGGATGCCAGCCTGGGCTATGTGAGACTATGTCCTCAGAAACAAAAATAAAATACCAGCCAAACTACACAGATGTATCTGGCTGGAAAATGACTGTAGGTTTTGCAGGATCACAAACATATTTCTCTAGAGGGCTGGACAGACAACATAGGTACAAGGGACACCAAGTCTCTATATAATCTCTCTCTTCTAGTAAGATCTAGTATATGAGCTACTCATTGCTGGGTAAAAATTTATCCCTGACTTACTTCCTTGGAGTAATAAAGGTTAATTTACATAGAGTGTGAGGGACAGGAATGTGGATTTTTTAGTTGACAAATCAAACTTGTGTATGTATGTATCCTATACCATATTTTAAAGCATGTTTATAATATGGACTGGCTCAGAGAGCTCATTAGCATCTGTGTTACCTCAAATACTTAATGTTTTTTTTTTGTTTTTTGTTTTTTTTTAATGTGGAAAGAACACCTAAAAGCTACAGTTAAGAATTTTTTTTCCGCTGGGCAGTGGTGGCACACCCCTTTAATCCCAGCACTTGGGAGACAGAGGCAGGAGGATTTCTGAGTTGGAGGCCAGCCTGGTCTACAGAGTGAGTTTCAGGACAGCCAGGGCTATACAGAGAAACCCTGTCTCGAAAAAGCCAAAAAAAAAAAAATAATAATTTTTATTCAAAATACAATACATTGAGTCGGATGTGGTCGCACTACCACCTGCAGTCCTAGCATTCCATAGGCTGAGGCAGGAGGATTGTCCAAGTTCAAAGATAGCACGCGCATGCGCGGGCATACACACACACACACACACACACACACACACACACACACACACACACAGAGCCAATAATAGTCATGTACTACAACTGTGTTGATCCCCTGAATTTATTCCTTCTTTCTGATGAAAAGCTATACTTCTTGGGCCCACGTAGATGGCTCAGTGGGTCTTGCTGTCAAGCCTCAGTTTGGTCATGAAGTCCTGAGTTTGGTCATGAAGTCCTGAGTTTGATGTTGTAAATGTCAGGACTTCTTCCTCTTCCTTTTCTTGAGACACGGTGGATCTATGTAGATCTTGAGCTCTCTGTGTAGACCAGGCTGACCTTGAACTCAGAGATCCACATTGATGGGGGTTGGTCTGGTGATGCTATGTATTTAATCATTAAATACTGGCCCCCAAGATGTGTTTTCAGTCAAGGTAGCAGATTCGAATTACACCAAATGATGTATAAACATTGCTGCCAATCTCTGACTGGTTAAAAGTAGCAAGAGCCAATTACTGGGGAGAGTAGAGGTAGGTGGAGATTTCAGTTACCAGGCTGGGGGGTCAAAGCTAGGGACCACTAAGAGAGAGGAATGGGAGGAGGATGAAGGAGAGAGGAGGAGAAAGCAGACAGAACAGGAGGTCTCCATTAGACAGGATGGACCAGAAGCATGTGGCTGAAAGAAGTGCCCCCTGAGGACAGGCTGATGGGGAAAAAAACAGCCTGGGAGAATCTCAAACAGCAAGGAACGTGGGGCACACAGCTAGGATATAGCCAGTCTAGTGTAGAAAAACAGATTAAGGGTAATCACCCAGTAATTGTGATAAAGCTGGTTAAATAAACCACTAGGATTAAGTCTCAATTATTGGAGGACTGGCCAGGTCCTACTAAGAACTAATAGAATTAATTCATAGGTGACCATGGACTCAGAAATCCATCTGCCTTTACCTCCCAAGTGCTGGGATTAAAGGAATTCCTTCTTTTTAAAGGCTGATAAGCCCCTTCACCCCTCCCCCCTTTTTATTTATAAAAGATTTGTTTTTTTTGTTGTTGTTGTTTTTGGGGGGGCCTCAAACTCAGAGATCTGCCTGTCTCTGCCTCCCAAGTGCTGGGATTAAAGGTGTGTGCCACCACTGCCCGGCTTATTTGTTATGTTTATGAGCACACTGTAGCTGTCTTCAGACACACCAGAAGAGGGCATGGGATCCAATTACAGATGGATTTTTTTTTTTTTTTTGAGCTATCATGTGGTTGGTGGGAATTGAACTCAGAACCTCTAGAAGAGCAGTTAAGAATATTAGCTGCTCTGCCAGAGGACCTGAGTTCAACTTCCAGCATGCACATGGTGGTTCACAGTTACCTGAGGGTAACTCCAGTTCCAAGGGAATCCAGTGCCTTTATTTCTGGCCTTTGAAGCCACCAGGCACACAGACATACAGAAAGGCAAAACACCCATACATATAAAATGAACATAAAAAGTAACGTCGAGGACAACTATTTCATTCTAGACACGCACCAGGTTTTCTTTCTATTAGCTCCCCTTAATAGGGATTTAAGGTAGACTTTGTGTCTTGGTTGCTGTGAGTGATGCCTTTATCAGGGAATGCAGACACCTCCTTGGCTCATTAAGTCCATCTCCTTGGAATGAATATCCACTCAAGGAATGGAGTTGCCGTAGCTGCACAGCCCTTTCCCAGGGTCTCTCATGGGGCTACAAGTCAAGATGTTGGCTGGGGGACGGGCGGTGGTGGCACACGCCTTTAGTCCCAGCACTTGGGAGGCAGAGGCAGGTGGATTTCTGAGTTCGAGGCCAGCCTGGTCTACAGAGTGAGTTCCAGGACAGCCAGGGCTACACAGAGAAACCCTGTCTCGAAAAACAAACAAACAAACAAACAAAAAACCAAAAAAGATGTTGGCTGGGAAGCAAGGTATGATGGCCAACACTTTTAATCCCAACACTTGGGAAGCAAAGAGGGCTGAATTTGAGGCCAGCCTGATCTACAAAGCAAGCTCCAGGCCAGCAAGGGCTACATAGAGAAACTCTGTTTCCAAAAAAAAAGTAGCCTGGGACTCCATTCACAGCTGGAGCTGGAGGGCCAGCTTCCACGAGGGTCATACACATTTGCAGAAAGCCTCAGTTCTTTGCTACAGGATTCTGTTTGTCCATGGTTACTGTGCCCAGAGTAAACAGTCTAGTAGAGAGGAAGGAGGAAATCCTGGTGCCTTTTATGATCTAGTTTTGAAAATAAACAAAAAAAGCCAGGCAGTGGTGGCACATGCCTTTAATCCCAGCACTTGGGAGGCAGAGGCAGGCTGATTTCTGAGTTCGAGGCCAGCCTGGTCTACAGAGTGAGTTCCAGGACAGCCAGGGCTGCACAGAGAAACCCTGTCTCGAAAAAAACAAACAAACAAACCAAAAAAAAAAAAAAAAAAAAGAAGAAGAAGAAGGAAGAGGAGGAAGAAGAAAAGAAAAGAAGAAAGAAGAAATGCCTCAGTGATCAACAGCACCTGATGGTCTTGTGAAGGACCCAGCCAATTTGGGTTCCCAGCACCCACATCAGACCGCACACAGCCATCTGTAACTCCAGTTCCAAAGGATCTGTACCTTCTTCTGGCCTCAGTGGGCACTGTACACACATGATACACATACATACACGTGTGCACACACATATACTCAGATACACAGGAATGTGTGGTCCTACTGTGCACATACACATGTGGTGCACACACACAAAATACATCTTCAAAGTAGGCAGAGTGGAGAATGTTCATTGGTGAACTACAATTCTTCAAAACTCAGCTTAAGTGAAATTTGTGGAGAGCCCTCCCTAGGTACCTCTTTACAGACAGGAGTCTTTGCTTTGTGCCTGTTTCTTCAGTCTTTTTGTTTGTAACATGGCACATGATTGGTGATTATTAGTGTTGAGTTCATGAAACTGACAGGCTAGAGAGGAATGGGTACAAGAGGAGTTGGCAGAAGAAAAGTCTATTAGCTGAAATTTCTTCTTCCTTCCTTCCTTCCTTCCTTCCTTCCTTCCTTCCTTCCTTCCTTCCTTCCTTCCTTCCTTCCTTTTCCTTCTTGTAGACTGGCTGGCCCTAAACTAGCTATGTAGCTAAAGACGACCTTGAATTTCTGAAACTCCCGCCTCTACCTTCTGAGTGCTAGGGCTACAGATTTATGCGCTTCCAGGATTAGATTTAGGGCTTTGTCTGTGGTAAGCATGCACTCCGCCCACTGAGTCCCATCTCCATCCTTGGATGGATTTCGGGGTCCCTCCAGGAAGCAGAACTCTTGTGTATATGGAGAGAAAGAGGGGTGGTAATCTCTAGTCATCCAGACTGGTCCTCCTCACTGAAGGGACTAAAAGGTGGTTGTGTCATTTCAGATGATGTGGGTTTGTGCAGACCAAGATCCTTGTGGTCTTTATAGTTAAGGCAGTCATTTCTCAGGAGAAAGACAGTGCTAGTGTGAATTCAAGATGGGGTGGGAGACTACTAGGTGACTCAGTCAGCAACCGACCAAAGATACAACGCAGGCCATTTGTACAAGCCTAGAGGAAAGGCTGAGTATTGGTAAAGCACATACCCTCTAAAAAGGCAGGAAGCGCCTAACAGTGAAAAGGCTATCTTAGGCTAAAGGTTCCAGTGTGGAGAAGTTGTTCTGAGGAACAGAGGGTCAGTCGAAGGAACACAGGCATTCTAATGAAACAGAAAAGTAGCGATTTGCAAAGGCAACCCAAGAAAGCAAAATATCAGCATCAAGTTTTAAAAGGAAAGGTTGAACTGTGCCCAACTCTTCCCTCGAATCATAAATCAGCTGTGAAAAAGGAGAGCCGCTGCAGACAAACAGGTTCCAAGGCAAAGCCCCTCTCAGACTCAGACCTACCCCGGAGAAAGCTGCTGCCCCTCTCAGACTCCGACCTACCCCGGAGAAAGCTGCTGCCCCTCTCAGACTACGACCTAACGGAGAAAGCTGCTTTTCTCAGGAAGCTTTTATTTCCTGCCTGCTTTGTTTGCTTGGAAAACTCCTAGGAGTCAGGCATCTGGGTTAATTAATTGTAGAGTTGAAAAAAAAAAAGCTAGAACCTGGGTAAACAAAGATTAGCAGGAAGATAATAAAAAGGAACAAGAAACAAAAAAGGAAGAGGAAGACCTAAGTTCAGTGGGATGAGACTCTGAACAGGATCTCAGGCAAAACTCGTTCTGTTGTCAGTCAGCTTTTTGAGTGCGAGTCCTAAGTAGGCGCTTGCTTTTTTTTTTTTTTTTAATATTTATTTTTATTCTCTGGATGTTTTGCCTGCATGTATGCATGTGTGCATATGCACTGGGTGTGTACCGGGTGCCTTCAAAGATCAGAAGAGAGCAACAGAGCCCTTGGAACTAGAGTCATAGATGCTG